TTTTTTTGCAAACCACGAGCATCTGAGCTTGTCTCACTTCATACTTGAATTGGGTCGGAGCCCTTTTTGCAGGAAGCATCTGATGTGAGCTTCTAGAGACCGAGAGTTGAAAATCGCATGGTATTCAATGTATGATAAATTGTCGTGCTTCTCTCTCTTCGCTTTCTGTTAGCCTGTGTCATGAGTTAATGCTACAGAACGAATGTTATTTTATCGATCAGATTTTTGAAATAACCTTTTCAAGAATGAAAATATTGACTCGAACAAATTAAAGTTGTGGTCTGAATTCGACGCTTCTGGTTTGGTAACTGAATTCTTGGCTGTAAATTCTGCCTTTGGTGGTGGTTGGATTGTTGTTTCCATTAAAATATTTAACAGTGATCGCCGATGCGGGTCATCGGGTTGAACTCGACTGAACGTTTTCCCCATACATTCACCACAATCATAGATCGAACAAATCTTATAATAATCACTTGGCGCTGCATCTTGGGCACGGCCGATTACATCCTTAAACACACTAACAGATGCGATTTTGTTTAGGTGCATTTGATGCTGATGCACTTTTGAATATCCTTTGATTTAGTGGCTGTCATTCACAACTACTTCATTTCAGTGCATTCGAACAATTTCATAGCAGAGAGTCTTTGATTTGTGATATTGAATAGGGCAAGTAGGTTTGAGTTGAATTTCATTGTTATACTTTCTCCTTCGATAAACTTGGATTTTATTTGAGCATNTCTTTTATCGTATGCAAGTATTTCTTTCGACTCCGTATCTTGTTTGTGTTGCATTCACACTGCTATGATCAGTAAGCAAGGTTTTACCTGAAATGCTGGATCAATGGTTTCTATAGTGACTAATCCACGGCGTTTCGCGAACGCGTTCTTGCCATAATGCATCAAACTTCTGTAGTTGTATCGAATTCCGTACGTATCTGACTCACCTTCAGGCACTTGATCGAACTGAGAAATATAGCCTAGAAAAGTTGGATTTACTTACAATTCGACGACCACAGTTCGCTACAGCTCCCTTCTATAAAATCAATTTTGTTCACGTAAATTCTGTCTGTTAGGTATTATCACTCGAAATAAATCGATAGAAATTTCTCTATGCGATAGATAACTCTTAAAATGTCAGTGAATGAGTTAAACACGATGGAATTTGATTTGTGTGCAAAGCATCTCACGCGGCGCAACATTACTTGAGTGAATCTTGATGTACTCGTCTCTATCACGTCTCATGTGCTCATGCCACAAACCAATCGTATGCATCAGTTCATGCACCACAATATCATGCTCGATGCATGTGGCCATATTGTTCGCTTCTAACATCAACACGTTACGACCAGGCATGCGTCCAACAGCCGCATAGCATCTTCAACGGAAACCGAATTACTTTAAAAGTATGTTCTTGTGACAGCACTGAAATTAGTTCAGCATCACCACTCTCTATTTGTTATTCGAGGTACTCATGGGATCTAGGCTTGAATTAACCGAGCGTTAACTTGCCACTATCAAACACAAAGTTTGCTTTAAGTGAATTGACANTTCTCTACACGTATCAAGTTAACATTAATGCATCATTTTAATTAATACATCATTTTAATATATTCCTACACATCAGAATAACAAAACAAAGTGTTCTTTGCAATGAACACAAAAAAACTAACATGAAGCGAGTCATAATTGTTAGAAATTAAGAAAAGTCACTTCTGTACTACATGCTATCCTCGGTGTAATTAGATCGGTTTAAGAATCATTCGCTGATCTAATCAGACGATGGATGTCTATGTTCATTTTGTTTCTTTCTGTTCAACTAACTACTCATTATTATGTCCTAACATCAGTGATAAGAAGGAATTACCATATTGACCGGTGATAACGTATGGAATTCGAAACAGACCATCCGATGTTCTGCTCTGATCCCATTTGTACTCGGATTGCCTTGGCAGAGCATTTAGTTCGAACCATATATCATCATAACTATATCAACAACAGCAGTGAAACATATATTAATATAAACGAAACTAGACAAAGTTCCAGTTTCTCAAATGCACTCACTCATTTTCCCAATTATGCGGTGAAGGTGATTGATTACTGAATGCGCAGTTCAATATCACCTATGGAACAGAAAATTATCCCATCTATACTTTAAAAAAAATTTAATGACTGAACTTCAACCATCGCCCCGTTTTTTTTTTCACTCATGAATTAGCAGTTTTATTTTGATATCTTCAGTCGTTAGTATGGGCAGCATACAGCCGTTATGTTGAAGCGACAACGTTAAAAACTGGTAAGAAAT